TCGTTATTCCTTCCTTCGTCACAGTATTTCGAGCTTGGCTCAATTTTTGCGCAACTCGCTCGGACAGCTCCTGGTGTCGTTTCTCGAAGCGGGCGTACCAACCGCGGCCAACAGTACGAGGCACACCACCATGGTAAGAGACGATCTCACTGGCTCTGAGCATGATCTCGTAACGTTCAACTGGCCATCCTGACCGCTGCATAGCCGCGATCCATGTCACGAGATCATGTTCAAGGCCTGCTGAAATCGACGGCTTCACCCCCCGCTTTCCAATTGAAATAATACCAGTTTTGGCCATCATCTTCTTGTACTTGTAAATGGTAGTGCGCTTGAGTGGTGAGCTCCTTGCTACTTCATCCGGGGTTTCACCGGCGGCGAGGTGGCCAAAGGCCGCCTCGATATCTGCCTTCGTAGGTGGCATTGAGACAATAACATGTTTTTCGCGCATAACTTTCGCAATTGACTCCCGGGCAAGCTTGTGGTGTATTGAGCACTCGGAGGCAAATGCAAGACTGACTGGGGTAGCCAGCTGGCTAATCCAGTCTAACTAAAACTCAATCAATATAAACCCCCTTCGGCAAACGTCCAATCAGATCCTTGGGTTAGTCAGTTCCCATAGTATCTTCATACAGAATATGGCCTTTCTGCCTAAGACCTCTTCATGTTCTCACCGACACACAAAGCCGCCCGGAGCCGCCGACCGCAGTCGGGCCCGGCCGCCAAGGTGGCACCGACCGGGCGTAACGAGTGGCATCTAGGATCACGGGTAATCCATCTTGGCGGACGCAACACGTGGTGACCACGACGTTTCGACAGCAAATGCTCAAACTGCGCCTAATGCTGCGCGCTCGCGGCCTTGGCGTCATCAATATCGGCACGATGTTACAGCTTTCAAGGCCAGGAGAGCAAAAATGTGCATGGTGAGTACCGTCATGACGTCGATGGAACGTCAAGGCAGAGCAGCCGATCCCCGTGTTGTGCGACTACAAAACGTTCGAAATTTGTGTTCACGTTGCGCATTGTCGCCACGCGGGGGTGCTGCCCCGCCATGAGATCTGAAGGTATTTGTTGGGATGCTGTCTCCAACAAGGCACCAAAGCGCACAAAAAGCAGAAAACGCGAAAACCCCAAAACTTGAAAAACTGAACCAGCAGAAAAGACAGAAACTTCTCCAGATATCATACTAGTATTCAAGAAAAACAGCCTCTGCATGTCTTGTTTTCACAACAAGGTATGCACTGGTATGGCATGGTTGGCAGAGAGCGCGCGATGGAAGGTGGTGGGAGGTGTTGAAATTTCTTCGTGCTCCGACAAGCTGCTCGTTCAAGCTTGTACACTGTAGGATCTTGGGACTTTTTTTTGCGTTGGTGTTGGACAAAACAGGCATCATTTATCACCCAATGACGGGACAAAATTATGGCGAGGTACCCAGCGAAGGCCTGGCCACGTCGCGGCACCAAAGGGTTTTCCTTCGTATCATCCATGTGACGTGCCAGGTCGATGCCCGCTTGACCGATACACGCGCCGAGCGACAAGGTGCTGTGACTATCGATGGAACCTGTGTTCGTCCAATGACAGTGCCACGTTGATGGAACATGTAGTCGAGTAACATGGTGCGTCCGAGGTCTCGTCAAAGTCGGTGTTTTGCGAGACAGCCATAGTACCAAGGTGCGGATGCAATTCCGCCTCCGTTTCCGAGCATTCATGGAACTGTACTCGGCAGGACCACTACGTGAAGCCATCGTGCGGCATCAAATCCATGCAGACATGCTTGATGACGTCGTGTAAGAAACGTCGGTGCGATTGGCGTGCACTACACGCCATCCAGGCACACGCAACACGTGAAAGTGCTGCTGCACCTGGGGCGCATGTTGCGAGAAGCGTCGGCACGTGCCACCACCAAATTGTGCAATGGTCGTTTCGACGAAACCGTCACACCAGCGAAACCGCCCACATCTCCTTCCAGTCGTCGCCGTGTCTGTTCGCAGAAAGATCCGTCATGAGCAGCTCGAACGGGGTTGTGACGCCACTTCCGGACGTCCTCGTCGAAGCTACAGACTTGCCACCACCACCACCACCAGCATCGCAACAAGCCGGTGATGAGGTGCCGTCGGACGCTCGACCTCGTGACCCCATGGCACCGCTACCACCACCTCCGCCACCTTCGCTACCGGACTTGATATCCAAGACCATCGCGCCCGTGCCAGGGAAGGTCCTATCCACTCTGGAGATTGAACAAGACGAACTGCGGTCCAAGATCCGAGCGCATGTTGGACAGTCGCTACGGGCCATGCGAGAGCAGAAACGTCGCGAAAGCCGCCGGTTCTGCGGTTTGTCGCGCGCCGACGTCTTTGAGTGGATGCGCGCGGTGCTGGGCTGCGCAGATGCCGACGCGTCCGACTCGGCCGACGACAGCGACTCGAAGATCTTCACAACTAAGAAGTTCCTTGGTGGCGTCGAAGAGTTTTCGTGCCTCACCGACCGCGAATTGTCGCAGCTCGCGCGGCTCGCTGAAATGCGAACGTACACACGCGACGAAGTCATTGTGTTGGACGAAGTGAAAGCTGGTATGTCCTCGCTCGTTGGCATCGCATGCAGCCTCTAACTCTCTTAACGTTGTCAGATGGTCTGTACATCCTCATGTCTGGCAAGGCCACGCGCGCGTACGTTGTGGGCGGTGCCGTCTTGGACGATATATCGTTGCCCATGGAGCCGATCGAGTACCAAGAAGCCTTTGGCATGAACATTCCAGCGATCACGAAAGGCGACGAGCACGTGGAGTCGACTGTGACAGCTGGTGCGCAGGCTCGCCGACCGAGAATTTCCGTGACTCGTGTGATGGTTGTACCGTGTAGTGTCCGAGCGCGTCGAGTGCCTCTGGCTGCCGCACCTGGTCGTGCGGATGCTCAATATTCAGCCGCGCATGGACTACGAGTTTGTCTTGATTTTGAAAAATCATGATGGCATCACGGACGCCGACTACAAGCAACAGGAAGTCGTGCTGTCCAACATCCTCCAAGCCGGCCTCCACGTCACCGTCCTCGCCAACACACGCAACACGGTCGGAAAGATCATTCTCCTTCTCAACGCACCGCTTTGGCTCCTCGCGCGCGAAGACAAGCTCATGAAAATGGAGCGGATCGTCGAGTACCATTCGGAAGAAGATGTACGTTGAACATGTCCGTCATAGTGGCATGTCTGACACACCCGTCAGGCCAAGTCGCTGGGCGACGAGTACGGGGCCAATGCCGAGACGATGACGGCGGCGGATCGCATTGCCGCGTTTGCATCGATCCTGACTCGCCCCGCGACGGATCGCCCACCCGGCGTCGGCCTCCGCGGCATCGAGAACAACCAAGACCCTGTCATCCACGACGTATTTCCCCTGCACGATCCAAATGTGACGGACTTCATCACGTCATCTTGGTTCAAGGAAGCGCTGTCGGCATCGACCCGCCGATTGTTCCTTCTTCGGACCAAGGACCATTTTGGTCTGCACATTGCGTTTTACACGGCGTTCGTTCGGCTGTACTGTGCGTCGCTCAGCACACCTTGTCTGATCGGCGTCGTGCTGTGGGTCGTGTGGCGCCAAGCAGACTACCACACGTACATGCAAGCGCTTGGAATCTACGGGCTCTTTGTTGCGTTTGTTTGGGCGCCGTCCGTGCTGAAGCGGTGGAAACGATACCAATGCTCGCTCCTCGTTGAGTGGGACCTGCTCCAGGCCAAGGAGGTCGAGTACCCGAACCAAGAGTTCAAGGACTACGTCGTCGAAACGATCAACGTGGCCAACGAAGGTGACCCCCCCGACTTTGTCGACGTCAAAATGTACGACCGGCGCCGCCGGTACCCCAAGTATGTCTTGTTTGGTGCGTTTTCCGTTGTGTGCTGCGTCCTCCTCTTTGTGTTTGTCATGCTGTACTGCCAATGGTACATCATTGCCGTGATGACCCCCATGTGCGATGACCCGCGGTGCCCGGCGTTCTTGGACTCGGCGACTTGCGTCAACCAGTGCGAGCTCTTGCTCCAGCAAGGCAAAAAATACAACTTCCTCCGCGACATTCGCGCGTCCGTGCGGGGGTGCCACGGCTACTGCGACACGACCACGTTTGATCCGTCCTATTATAGCTGCGACACGCCCCTCATTGGGTGCTTTACAACGGAGCGCGGGGTTGTTGGCACGGCTCGATGGACGTACGTCCTGATCCAGGGCATCGTGCTCGGGCTAACCCTCGACATTGTGTTCCTCGCGATCTTTGAGTTGATTGCGTCGGTTTTCAACAAGTGGGAAAACTACCCCACGCTCCAGGAAAACAATCGTCGGTTCGTCGAAAAGATCTTTGTCTTCAACTGGGTCGGGTACTTTTACTGGTTCTTCCTTCTCGCGTTCTTGTACACGCCGTACGGCGACCAAGTCCAGGGATTCATCCGCGAGCACATCGACACGAACGCGTGGCTCACGGGCAACGGCCGGTTCAAGTTTAGGTACGTTGTCTTGTGTGGACCCGCACGGGCGTGACCGACTCGATTGTAGTCGGTATTGGGTCCCGGGCTTGGTCGGGATGGATTCTGCGTTCGTGACGCCGCTGATTGTGACGCAGGCGCTCAACTTGATCATCAATACGTTTGTCCCGTACTTGCTACGCCGCGCGGTCGTTTCTGCCCGGGACACGTATCTCGTGAGCAAGGATCAGCTAAGCCTCAAGCTCAAGAACGGACTCAAGATGCATTTTCAAACGACGGTGCATCTCACGCAAAGCGCGGCCGATTTGGCCCAAAACACAACGCACAGCGCGGCGGCGGTCGTTCGGCGCAGCAAGCTCGCGTTGCTGCGCCAATCGCTGCCGAACGCCGACGACAGTGCAGCCGTCGTGGCAGCTGCGACCACTGACGACGACTTGACCGAGATGGAGAAAGACGAGCTTGCTCAGTACTTGTCGGAAAAGAAACCAATACGTGCCGCGGACGTCGAAGCCACGATCGACGCGCTGTTTGCCAACCTGTCGAGCCACCACAGCCGCATGAATCAAATCTGCTTGAATGTAAGGCGGGACGACTTGGACTCGTACCAAGTCACAAGGTGCGTCCGTCAAACCGACCCACATTGACCTGCCCGTGATAGCTACGACTGGATCGACCGCATCACGCAAGACATTGAACACAACAAGAAGCACGAATGCATTTGGGAAGATCCATTGCACAATGCATCGGCGAGCGGCAAGGACCGCCCCGCGTTTCGCCTTCGATTGATCAAAGAATGGAGGTGCCGCAACTACGTGTACAACGCGGACCGGATCATGGAAGAGTCGAGCATGCCAGTGTACTCGCCGCAGGGCGACTTGCTGCACATGGCGATTCAGTTTAGCTATGTCACGATGTTCAGCGTGATCTGGCCGTTCTGTGCGCTGTGCGCGTACTGCAACAACACGATTGCGTCCCGCTTCGACGCGATCAAGATGGTGATCGACTGCAAGCGGTCGGTGCCGCGTCGGTTGATTGGGATCGGGCCATGGCTCGGCGCGTTTATGTTTGAGACCCTCGTCGCCACGATGGTGGTGCCGGCCATTTTCGTCTACGTAACGGGTCAAATGGATTCGTTCAGTCCGTCGTGCCCGATCTCGGTGGAAGACTACGGCCCAGTGACCCAATGTTTTCCGCTCCTTTGGCGGCTCCTCGCATTCTGTGTGCTGGAGAATGTCGGGATCGCCATTAGCTTCTTTGTGTACCTGCGCAAGAGCGACATCTCGACGGAAACGTCGATCAAGATCCAGGAGCACTCGCGACGCGCCAAGTACAACGTTCGGAAGAGTGTTCGCACCATCGGCGAGCACATTCTCGTGCGCGTACAGCTGTCGCAACACCACCCACACTCAGCGACGGGCACGACCGAGCTAGTCGAGAGCGCAACACACAGTGGAGAGTGGCGCCAAGGCACGGTCGCGTGGGTCAAGAATGGCCGCATCAAGGTCAATTTTTACGCCAACGGCATGTTTGGTCACGATTCGCACTCGATGGAGCACGAAGGTACAATCAAATCGTGAAGGGATGGTGGGAGCTGACCAATTTGTGTGCCTAGTGTGGCTCCAACACGAACAGTACGCGCTCAAGAGCCCGATCCCAGTCCGCGTGTTTGAAATAGGCATGCCGGTGCTGCTCGCGTCGTCCAAGCAGGGCCGTTGGCTCGAAGGCCACATTGTCGGCATGGACACAGTCAATCGATTCGGCAACGAGATGGTCCACCGGCCGGACGAGATGCATTTATCCATTGTGGAAGGGCGCAATTTGCGGTCCAACATGATGCGAAACGTGCTGGACCCGTACTGCGTCATCACATGTGGCGCGTTCAAGCACATGACAAGCATCAAGCGGCACACGTTGAACCCGCTGTGGAACGAGCAGCTTGTGTTTGGCATGACGGAGAAAGACCTGGCCGCGTCCGATGGCAAGGTGCTGCTGACCGTGTACAACCACGATACGTTGTCGCTTGGGGAATGCATTGGCGAGGCCGAGATCGACCTGAAGCTGCACATGGACGGTAAGAAGGAGAAATTGTGGGTGCCGCTCGTGCTCAAGAAGTCCATGCTCAACTTGGAGCTGCTCGGAAACGCCGTGCACAAACTCGCGCTCGGGGATAACCTCCCCGACCCGCAAATCCTCCTCGAGCTGCAATGGATCGACACACGGTTCCCTGCCCAAGTCCACGTTGCCATCAAAGACGACGGCCATGGAGCGCCGCCCCGCGTGCTCAACCGCAAACACTGCGAAAAGCGCCTGTGTTATGGCATTCACTCGAGCGAGATCAAGCACGGCCGCATCTATGACACGAACGACGTATCGTAGTTTTGGTGTTGGATTGTGAACGCTCGATGCAGTAGTTTCAATATACGTAAGTTGTTTCGTGGCTCTTATCATGTACCTGTTCTGCTTGGGATCGTTAAGCTCTGGTCGGGGGCTTCAAGTCCCCCATGTAACACGCATCCCTTTGAGCGCAGCACGGCAACATCCCATGATGCCACATCCAACAATGCCGGGGGAATCACATCGACAAGGCATCAACCGCGCCCTTTCGCCCCACAGTCGCACGCCACGATGGACATTCCCCCAGAAATGTCTGCATGCACACTCGACCAATCTCGCCAAGACCTGGGACACCCTGTAGATCTAGCGTCGTGGCCCAACTCGGCCGTGTTTACTTTGTCATGTACCGCAACTTGTGCGTCCAAGTGGCAGCTTCCGCATCTTGTCGCCAGCAACGCTGCAAGGGAATTACAGGACGGATCGCTGCGTCGAATTCAACGCGACGACCAGTCGGACCGATTGTGGTGAAACCGTAGCGGTTTCGTACACGCCGTTACAAGCTGCCTTTTCAACCCCACGAACTAGTTGCAGAATTTGGTGGCGCGGGCGGGAGAAAGTGCTTGGCGTTGCACGCATGGACAAGAAGAAGACTGGCGTGGGCTCGGTGCTGACGGACGACTGGGAATCCGACTTGGCGGCCATCATTGAGAAAACCAACCAAAACCTCAACTTGCTGCGTAAGATTGGCGAAAAGCGCGATGAGCCGAAGGTGCTAACGCCGTCCGGGCTGCTGTCGCGGACGCGATCGAGTCCGCTCATCGTGGCGCCAAGTTCCAATGCCACAGACCACCGAATTACGTCAGAGTACGCTGTCGCCAGGGACAGGTGTAGATGACTTCACTTTGTTTTATGTAGCGCAACGGCGTCCATCAACAAGTGGAAGAAAGTCCTGGACGAATCCACATCGATGAAGCGGCACATCGCCACGAAAATACTTGTACACCCCATATACTGTGGCCACAATCTCATGCTCGTGTGAATCGTGGGCAGGACTCGAACAAGGCCAAGGCGGACGGTGTGCGAGGAGCGTGGGACCTGCCTTTCACGAACCAAGATGATCCACGAGGGGAGGTAAGCCGTCCAACAGTCCTTGAGGAATCTCAACAAGTCGCTATAGACGACGAAGCCAGGTGCAACATCCAAATCCTTTCAACCTCACGTGTCGATGGATGAGGTCAAGAAAAGGTCAGGTCGCCCCAAAACGAGCCAGCCACGTCGTGCCAACCAACTTTGTCCATTGTAGCCTTGAAGTAGACATAGCAGGACGCGCAAAGGCCATTGAAACCCTCGTCGCCGACTTGCGCTTGGATTTCAAAGCGCTGGCCGGCGAGTGTAACCTGTCGTCGAAAAAGGCCGACGAGCTTGTTCAAAAGGTATAACATTACACTGGCGTTTGCATCGTCACCTCGATGTTTGATCTAGTTCGAGGTCAAGTGTCAACGATTCGAATCGTTCGAGGTCGACGCGACAAAGGTGCTGGAGGCATGGCCACGCCTTGAAACGCAGACCATCGCGTTGCTCAAGTGGAAAGGCATGGTCGAATACGATATGCAGGCAGCAACGTACAGACAATGCAACGTCTGCAGCCTGTGAATGGACACAAATTGCCGTAGGAACAAGCTCGACGTGGTGCTATCCGCGCAGGAAAAATGCACGCGGCTCGACCGGCAAATGTCGGATTTGGAACACAAGCTGCAGCGGTTGCCGACATTAGAGGGACTCGTCGACACATTGACGAAGCGAGTGCAAGAGCTGGAACGGCAAGCGTCCCGCGCGGCGGCAGGTATGTTGGGCGGTGTTGATTCGACTCGGATACACATGGGACCCGGATCGTAGACGGCCATGGCATCGCGCATGCGGTGGAAGTAGCAGTGAACAAATCGATGGCGTCGTTGGACGGCAGCCTCTCGAAACGGATGGACGCTGTCACCGAGATGCACGAGGCCAAGACAACTAGTTTCATGAAGGTAAGACCTGTTCACGTCGGCGTTCAAGGCGACGGACGCAAACCACGTGCGTAGACGTTGCAGAGCCAGCGTGAAAACTACGAAAAGGCGATTCAGTTTGCCATCGATGCAGGGCTGGGCGACGTCCACATGGAAATGGATCAAGTGCAGAAACGAATCGACACGCGGCTGCACGACATCCAAACGTCGATCGACGCACGTGTCGCGGTCCTGCACAAACGCGTTGGAGCGATGGAAGTTGCCGTCACGGACACCGAGAGAAGCGCGGACTCGAACGACCAGCTTCGAAAACTCTCTGCACGTGTGGACTCGTGTGTGTCAAAGCAGCAAGTGAGCACGGTGGTGGCCGACCATCTCGCCGACTACGTCGAGTCCCATCGTCGCATGGAAGCTGCTCTCGTGAAAGCGCAGCAAGACCACGACCGCAAGTGGAAAGGTCTCAGCGAGGGGCTTGCAAGTACGCAAGAAGAATTATCTCACGTCCACGAGAATGTTGCAAGCGTGCAGTCGGCGATGCAAAAGACAGCCAAGGTTGAAAACCAAGTTCTTCGCGCCAAGTTGCTCCAGTGCGTGGCCGAATTGGACGAGCTTCGACAGGTGAAGCACGACTTGGACACTGATTTGGATCGGCGCAACAGGGACCACGACGCGGCCATTGCGAAACTCGCTGCCCAAGTTGCCGCGTCGGATAAGAAGCGAGAGGATGATGTCCAGACCTTGACAACTGCACTGATGGAGAAGTCCGTGCAAGTGGCGTCGACAGCAGGAAAGCTCACAGCGCTGCAAGAATGCTGGAATCGCGACGTGGATCAGTTGCATGCGACGCGTGCGATGATGCACAAAGCCCGACGTGACAGTGCAGAGATGCGCGCAGCGCTGCAGCAGTGCCAAAGCGACTTGTCCCGGCAAAACCTGGAAAAGAAGCACAGCGTCGACACGATTCGGCGACTTACTGCTCAGTGGGTAAAGGCCAAAGAGGACGTCGCTCAGTCCAAAGCGTCGTTGCAACAAGAGATGAAGCAGCACTCGGACCGCGTGAGTATGTTGGAGAGTACGATCGCAAAGCTCCAATCCACGCACGCCACGACCTTGACCGATGTCAAGCGGTCCGCTGTCGCGACAGGCCATGTCGAGAGGCTCACGAGTGACTTGGCATCGGCGCAACTTGATTTGCAGGCCGTGCAACAGGAGCTGGAGCGCGTGACTTTGTCCAAGGCGACGTTGGAGGCCCAGCTTCACACGGCCATATCCCAATTGAAAGCCGACGATCCACATCGACAAAGCGCTGCGCAAGCTCGCCACGCCGCACTGGACAATGCAAATGCAAAGTTGCATGACCTCATGAAACGAGAAACGGACGTGGTGGCCGCCGTCCAGGCGCTTTGCAACACGTTGGCCACCACGAGTGCTTCAACAGTCGCGCCGCCCACACTTGTCGGTACACTGCACGCAATGCACGTGACCATCCAGGACTGGCAAACAAGACAAACCGGAAACGCTGACTCCATCTCTGCGCTCCAACGGCAAGTGCATGCGACGCAAGATGAGCTGAGTGCACAGCAAGTGGCGTGGGAGATCAAACTCAAGGCGCATGTCGCCAAATTGGACTGTGTCTTGACCGAGAAAACCCATGTCGAGGAGGATTTGGCCGCCCACAAAGCAAAGCTCAACGAGGAACTTGCTCGCAAGCGACAGATCGAAGACGACGCGGCAATCGCCGCTCAAGGCATTGCCACCAAAGAGCGAGAATTGCGTGGACAAGTGGAAGAACTGGAAGCCTACGTGGCAGAACTTGTGAGTCAGAAGTCAAGTTTGGAATTGTCGCTGGCGTCGCTGGAGGCGGCCCACGAAAATTCGGCACGGGATGCCCAAATTGCAACAAACAGTTTAGCCACGACCGTCGCATCGCTACAAGACAGACTGTCAGAAAGCCTAGCAAGTTACGAGCGAGCTAGCGACGAAATCGAAGCTCTCGAAGCCAAGCTCCAGGAGTTGCATGCCTCCAACCAGACGTTGACGGACGAGTACAACGCAGCTTGCGTCGACTTGCACGATGCGCAAGATGTTGCCAGTGCATCCAAAGCGCAAACGACCGTGCTAGAGTTGGAGCTGGCAAATGCCCAAGAGCAGTGCCGCGACCGTGAAGGCAAGCTCCTTGCGGCCCAAGCACAGGTTGAGTGTGTGACTTCCAAAATCGAAACCCTCGAGTCGACGCTGTTGCAAGTGCAGACGGAGCTCACGAATCTTCACCAGACGTCAACTAACACGGCAAATTTCGACAGAGCGCGATTGGACGAGGAAAAAATCAAAATTGACCAACTCCTCCTTGAGAAAAAGGCCGTGGAAGACAAATTGCTCGAGTGGACGGAGCGCGAAGCAGCGATGCAAGAGGAATGGGCTCAGTGGAAAGAGGAACGAGATGCCCGCGAGCTACAAGTGCACAGTCATGTGTGTGCGCTCACGGACGACTTGAAAGCCGTACAAGATGCATCGGCCATTCGGGAGTCGGAGTTTGTCGCGTTGGCAAACCACGTCAAGTCGCTCACTGGGTGCTCCAGCTCAATGGTGGACTCGCCGGGCCATACATCCTTTGCGATGCTCCAGACAAACATTGACGCCCTGCATGCTACCGCTACTGCAAAGCAGCGCGTTCTTGACCAGGTCGTGGAGTTCTTACAAACGTGTGTCGGTCGCAAGAGCACCGACCCTGTGAAATCAAACATCTTCGAAGAGCTGCCCGTGTTGCAGCCTGTACTGGAGCAAGTTGAATCACTCCACGTCGAAACGACAAATACAACGAGTCGTGTGGTCGAATTGGTTCAAGAACTGGGTCGCCGCGATGAGTTGCAAGCGCAGCTCGAGCTCGAACTTGAAGCACAACGTGCTACCATGTCGGCGTTGCAGCATGCCAAGGAAGTTTTCGAAAGCGATGCGGCAGTCTCCGCCCAAGAACTAGAAGCGACCCGGACTCAATGGAAAGAAAGTGATCGAATTCACGAAGCGAAAATCAAGGCATTGCTGGCTGACTGCGACGCTCACCAAAGCCACGAGGCCCATCTAAAGCACCAAGTGGAAACGATGGTGCAGCAGTGGCAACGTGACCTTTCGGCCATGCAAGTCCATGTAATCGACGACATCGAAGCAAAGCTTGCGCAACTCGACGCAGACACGACGACTTGCGTCGAGGCCATGATGCAGCAAGAAGCCGCACAAGAAGCAACAGCGGTAGAGATGGACAAACAACAGGAAAACTTGTGTCGCCTTCAACGCGACGTAGCGATGCTGCGAAATCAATTGAGCATGGCACCTGCGACGCTGCACCACATCAATCACATGCACGGAATCGTTGCGACGCCAGAGAAAGCACCCGCTGTTCGCGGTCATGACAGAGCCCACATCCTGATGATGCAAAGTCAACTCACTGCGGAAGCCGAAGTGACAGCACTGCAGCTGGCCTTGAACGACCAAGATTTGTCGTACGTGGCCAAGTCTCTCCAGCGGCTACCCAACTTAGCCCAAAGATTGGCCCAAGTCGCTTCAGCAGTCAATCAAATTCGGCGCCCGGAGACACGTGGGGTGATGTCTACCGTGGTGTGCACCGTGGAGTCATCGACAATCTCGAGTGAAGGTACTGGTCAAGCCGAAAATACGCTAAAAGTGGAAGGGCCTGGAGCCGCGAACTCACTCGACGAAGCTGTTGCTGAGCGTACAACGGCCTCGTTTTCTGGTCGTGTCGTCGACAGAGCGATGCCCGAGAGCAATGATGCCAAAATCTTCCGCGGGGTGTCAGGTGCTATCACTGAACACGACGCTGACTCGCCGACGACAAATCGTGAAGTGAGTGAAGCCCAGTCCTCTGACAGTGATGAGCACGTCGCGGTGGGCAGCCTAATTGTCCAAAGCGAACCACTACAGAACGTTCCCATGACCACACTGGAAGCGACGCATTGCGGCGATGAGAAGGGCGTCGAGACCGACAAAGACGAGGGTGGCGAAGACGCTGCGCCCACCGACGACTTCGACGTAGCTGATGCTTCGGTCGAGACACCCTTGCACACTGATCTTTGCACACAGCCATATGCGTCCACTGAAATGGACGAAGCTCTTGAGCATTCTGGCGAGATTTCTCAGGAACCAAGCGCCTCTATTCATGCATTGACCGCACCACTGGACTCCCCGCGAGACGCTGCACTACATTTGCACCATGACGGCACCACACTGGAAGACACTTGTGAAAAGCAATTGCATCCTTCCGAGTCAGACGGCACGGGTCTAACCGCACGGCAAATTGGCCTGGAATCAACCCAAATTGATGCCACGGAAGTCGTCGGAGATGACCGCGACGTATTCGATGAGTCAGGCATTGATGAAGGGGAAGAAGCACATCAACTTATGGACAATGACAGCAGCGCCAGGTTGAATGAGGACTATGGTCTTGCCCACGGCAACTTGTTGAATGGGGCAACGGATGGCCAGCCGCTCGGAGGTATAATGGGGCGCCGTGAAGAGCCACCGAACGTCCCGGCAGGAGTTCTTTTGACGTCCGAAGTTGCCGCCTTGCCTACAATCCTTGCAGATAGCTTTCAAGACTGCGCGAATCTTACTCGAGAATATGACGATGGCGGGGAGAGAGACTCCAACTCAGACAACTCTGACGCTGAAATTGGCGAGGAATCGGTCGACGACATGCCGCCGAGTCCGGTTCAGTCATCTGCCCAGTCGACATTGTCTTCGTCCTTGGCTCGATTGCAAGCCATGCAACCGAGCCAGGATCAAGATGAACGACTCTCAAACAGTACGGACGGCGAAGTTAGCTCTTCAAGTCATTTTGAAAACTCTGCAGCTGCCTCAAGCATCACCGAGATGTCGTCGCAATCAACGGCGCAATCGATGACGAATGAACAATCGATTCAACGTATCGCTCCATTGTCCACCAGCGTACCAGCAGTGCGTGACATGATGGATGGTCAGTTGCCGCCACGAAGCAACTCACCGCCCTCCCTATCACCTGGTCGTCCGGCGGAGCCGCATACTGACATAAATGACCATTCAGAGCAACTGGACCAGAGTTCGCATGAGCGGACACCGTCGACGCATGCTACCGTCCACCACCACACTGAAGACGGTCGCGACGACGTTGAGTCAGAAGACGACGGGACTGAACAAAACCTTGCCGAGTCGGAGGACGAATTTGCCGTCGAGCCGAGTTCTCATGACTTTGAGTCTCGCAGCCAACCGCAGCAACATTCCTCGCGCAGACAAGAGCACCATGCAAACTCCCTTGACCCGACAAGCCACGACCATGAACTGGGGGGCGGGGATGAAGCTGAACGGGTTCAATTGCCGTTGGACGAGGCAACAACAGGACGACGGAAGGCTGACTTGGTCGACTTGGACGACATCGGAAGACTCCTCAAAGAGCAGGCACTGCAAGGTGCTTCATTACAGTTCGACAACTCGTTTGACGAATCGTTCGATGACGATGCTGACCGCCACCCACCAGACACGTACGACCCGGACGATGAGTTGTCTGGGCCTACCGATGGCACTGGTGACTGCGTTGATGGGCAACTGGACAAGGACGTGGAATTGAACGATGCAGGTCGAACAAAACCATCGGCTTCATTCCATGGGGACTCGGTGAACTCAGTAGATGTGGTGGCTATTGAGTCCACGACCGACGTCACCAGACAGGAAATGAAGGCATCCTTGAATTCCAACGGGCACCTGCTCCACCCCACTGGCGATGATGTCGAGTCAGACGACGAATTTGCCGATGAATCCATGGCGTCCTTGGAAGACTCCATGGAGCAGTCAGATGAACCGTCCAGTCCATGTGGCAAGGGCTCTTCCAAGCATTTACCCCCCCTGACCTTGCAACTTGTACCACACATTGACAATTGCGATCTGGACGACGGACGCCTTGAGAGAGACAACGCAACTTCTTCGTCGGCATCCAAAGTTGCAAATGGTGTCGCAGGTCGAGTGAATGCCCGAGAAGATGACCTTGACGTGTTGAAACAGCTCATGGCTGAGCAAGATCTGCACCTCTCCAGCACTTCCTTGCACCAGGAGTCGTATGATGAGCCAGACGACGTCCCGATCGCGGTGGATGACGACGAGTTGTCTGATCTCGAAGACGAACATAACGACGCGCAGAGAAATGGCTGTGAGGAATCCTGGGTCCAACCTTCGACATCAACGCCACCTTCCGTCGACGTTGGCCCAGCCGTCCTCGACAACGCCACTGTTCAACACGCACATGAAGAGCGCGCAACAGAGTTACCGCCTTCGTTTGCTTCGGCAGAGAGCGATGGAGCGAGCGCCACGCAGTCGACTGGGGCCCTCAAATCACGTTTCTCCATCCATGTCCCCGAGGCCCCTGTCAACCATGATGACAAAGGCCATGCCAACCACGAAGGACACTTGCAAGACTCTCTTCGCGAGGTTTCATCTTCACAAAATCCCCACCCACCTAGTCATGGCATCATGTTCAACGACACTACAGCTTCGTCTGACCTAGCAACGCATGAAGGCGAATCACAGCATACCGCCATGGACGTTGACAAGGTCGGTGAGATGTCGCAGGACAAGAGTGACGTACTATCGGACACCAAGAACCGCCCATCACCACAAGTAGTGCCTGTGGTGCAAGGAAGTCCATTGAGCAGCCCAGAGAAAGGCTCCCCGAAACCACGCACTTTGGCCCCATTGACTATCTTGACGTTGCAGCCGTTCACCGTCGAAGCAGGGTTCACTTCTACCAACGCCGACGCGGACGAAGTTGAACGACACACGATGGACCGAACGCATTCTTCGGCGCAAAAGACTACACGAAACAAGGACGATGACGAATTTGATGGCAGTGGACATCACGACGAAGATGTCATGCAGGACGATGAGGAGCTGTCCGATTCGGACGGCTTTGATGGATCATCCCACGACACTCCCGCGGACGAGGCGGCACCTCACCGTCGAGAAGCCGCACAACATGGCGCCACCAACAGCGAGCCATGCATACGACAGCATGGAATCAGCAATTGCCTCGACTCGACCCACGCCGGCACGACTGAGCCACTGGGTCTGGATGACCTGAATGAAAACGACGACGTTGATACAACAGAACAATTTCTGCCACCATCAAGTGCCCTTGATGAGGGCGTCATATCGTCATCATTGCCACGAGACCATCGATTTGGCCTGACGCTTGACGAAGAACAGCCGCTCGACGAAGTGCCTGATGACGAAGATGGTGATGATGCTTTAAGCCAGGATGAAACCAACATGACTGAAGTGGCGCAGCAACTTGCGACTGCAAGTGCGACTCACCACAGCGACCTCGGCGACGACGACGACGAGAGCGCCGCAGAAGAACGATCTGAGGCCGCCATGGAGTCCTCCAAAGAGTTGTCTCCAGGCAAATCGTCCCCTCGCCTGTCACCAAAGCTCGCCCCCCTGGACAAGGTATCGTGGCGTGGTTTACCGCCAATCGAGTCGCAATTGCCGCAAGGAAATCGCTTGCTGCAGCCACACGGACAACCAACTCTACCTTTGACGCACGAGCGTCTTGGTTTTGAAACGGATGGTGTCGACAATCTCAGTGGCCCGGAAGACAACATCGAAATATCGAGACACGACTTGCGCCAACTCGATGTAGCTCTGAATGACGAGGACGATGAGGTACCTTCATGTAGAGAAGACGCCCTCGCATATCCAGCTCTCTCCAGCACCGGGCAGGAACCGGCGGATTCGCTGGAGCTTGCTGCACAAGACCGTCGTGAAGTCATACCGCATGACCGCGATCTTGAGAATTCGTTGGATTTGGAAAACAGCTTCGACGCCAGCACCGAGGAGAGCGATGTTGACCATTCCGTGGACGGCGCTTCTGAAGGTAGTCTGGAAAACAGCACATCTTCTGCTCAGCACGAACCGCCCATGCTTCGATGCCACGACGGAGTCCCCATTGAATCGTCAAGTGCGGGTGAGTTGGACATTAGCCAGGACGACAACAGCAAGAGGCAAAGTCCGACGAAAGCAGCGAATCCAACTTCGCTTGCGCAGCGACTCTTCCAAGCAAAATTGCGCTCTACGGAGTCTCACGATGAAGAGCGGTCAGGGTCAGATGCGCAAATGGCTCGCCTCAATACGACCTTGAGCATTGCAGGTCGATTAACCTTGCCCAAGTTTGACGATGCGGAGGAGCTCGATGAGTCGGCCGAAATGAGTCATGATCTCGACACAGACTGTCCAACGCCCTCGCGAATAGTTGGTGAAGAAGATGACAATGGCGTTCGCAGTGACGATGACAATCGCAGTGGTGATGATGAGGGCGTTGATGCACAGGCATTTGTTGACGGAGAGGACGCAACCGCCGACGCTGACTACGGCACTGCAGCGCCTCGAGTGTTCGGGAAGGAATCACCACTTCCGTCAGTGACGACAGACCACGCAAACGACGATGATGAAGATGGCGAAGAGGAAGTCTTCGCCCATGCACTTGAAAAGCCTTTCGTTCAATCGAGCGGTTGCATGCCATCAGACACGACCACCGACACTCTCACGACAGCAACGCCTGGCCGTTCAGGCTACGGCGAGGACGTTGACGAGGACGCAGAAGACTATGATGGACCAGCAACACCGTCTTCTGCGTTGGAAAATGTAGCCTCACGTCGACGGGGTCACTTGGCAGCAAGTCGCGGTGATGAGGACAATTCTGACGACGAAGTGGAAGCACTTTTGAGAGGTCACTTGCGCTCCTCGCCGGCTCCAAAGCCCTTGGGAGCCTCCACTGCACCCCCGTCACTCGTTCATACGACAGTCAAACTTCAGACTATTCGACACCAACATGTCGACGTTGGAGAAGACTTGGACGAATCTCACGACGACGATGAGTCCGATGCCGTCTCAGCGTTGCATTCACACCATCCACCGAGAAGAGAAAACCTAGACGCGAGTACGACGTTCGCAACCAAACGCCCGGTGTCTGCCGTCGCTCGACCGCTGTCTACCTTGACCCCTTTGCAGGGATTGCCCAAGTTGCCTCCCGTGGCATCCCTCGGCCGTCGGTATTTCGACGACGATGAAGCAACTGATGAATCATTCCACAGTAATGTCGTCATCCAAAGCAACTTTGACGATGACGATGACGAGTTTGGCGCGAACGTACACTCAGACACTGCCGACCAGTCAGTAGAGGGTCCAACGCCGCCTCGATCGCCTTCAGGAGCGCAGTCGTCACCCGCCCGACACGACGATCTCGACTCGGACATCCAAGTACCAGCACAGAAGGCCTCTCGTACATCTTCGCCCGATTCCTTCCCAACACCTCGACGGCATGACGATCTTCCTTCGACCATGCCCCTTGACCCAGTAGCACGAGGGAGAAATCGTATCCCTGGACGGGATACTGCACCTTCACCGTCGAATTCACCACGAAAACGCGGAGCTGGTACTGCGCCAAGCGATGGTGGTGACGATGACAATGCGTATTCTGACTCGTTTGAGTTTGAAGAGTCGTTGGCGTCGGATGAGGACGGCGATTGATCTCGAAATGAAGCAGTTCTTGGCGTCCCCCATTCCCTGTCTTGTTCAATGACTTGTAGCATGTCGCCATTAACGCATGTTATTGGGAAACCGTGATCGCACGACTCGGATCGTTTCGTGGGTGGTTTCGATGGGTTTCGTGAGGCGGCAGCTTTGTTTAGCTGGGATGGATATAATTAGGCGCGGCAGCCGTTGATGCACCCCACAGCTCAAAACCCCCGGTGGAGGAATCGTTGGTCGAGCATGTCGTCGGTGTATCCACGAAAGGATAAAGTCGCGAAAGGAAATGACGCAACCCGCCTCGTGTTTGTGAACCATGACGAAAAGAACCGAGAGCTTCAGTCCAAGTACAAGTACACCAACAACTGGGTGTCCACGTCCAAGTACACGATCGTGAGGTGCGTGCGACCTGGAAGCGGGGTTTGAGTTTGTCGTGACATGGCATTTGGTAGCTTTGTGCCGAAGACACTCTTCGAGTTCTTTCGCGTGATCGCGAACATGTACTTTTTGTTCATTTCGATCATCCAAGTAAAGCATCCGACGAGCCTTCATGAACTTGACGACTCTGGGAATAGTTGGCGTCCGATTGGTCTCCGACCAACAAGTACACGACGGCAGGGCCGTTGCTGATTGTGCTGGTTGTGTCGATGATCAAACAAGCGATCGAAGACAAGAAGCGCCACGACGCAGACGCGATTCAGAACTGCCGCATTTGCCACGTATGCGCCGAGCTTTCGTCGTCATTTCATGCTTGGGGTAGGTTATGACGGCCAACGGGGCGATCCAGGAGAAGCAGTGGCAAGATGTCCAAGTGGGCGACATCTTGTTCTTGAAAGACAAGGATGAGTTGCCGGCAGACGTGTTGATCTTGGCGACGTCCGAGGAGGAAGGACGGTGCTTTGTCGAGACGTGCAACTTGGACGGCGAAACCAACTTGAAGCGCCGGACGGCATGCGAACCCATTGCCAAGCTCATTGGGTTTCGAGCTCTCAATGATGTACGGCCACGATTGTCTTTTACGAGTCGATGACATGTTTGGTGCATGGTGTAGCCTGTCATTGACGAAGCCAAGCACAAGGCATCGTGCATGGCATTTCGCGGGTCCATCGAATACGAACAGCCCAACAATCGGCTCTACAACTTTACGGGAGTCGTCAAAGCAGACGCGTTGGCCGACGCAGCGCCCATTGGACCGACCAACGTTATCTTGCGCGGATGCAGCATCCGCAGTTGCTCGTACATCTTTGGAATTGTTTTGTTCGCCGGAAAGGAGTCCAAGCTCATGCAAAACGCCCGAGCGACCCCGTCCAAGCAAAGCAACGTGTACAAGAAAGTGAACCGGTGCATCATCTTGATCTTCGTCACGCAGGTGCGATCTGACATCAACGTGACGAGATAACAGACTTTGTCGAATTAGGCCGCCTTGTGTGTCATCAGTGCCCTCTCATTTAACTCGTGGGTGAAGCGCAACTTGCTTCTCCACGACTGGTATATCCCGTTCATCAAGACCGACTCGACCGCGTTCTTCACGTTTTTGATCCTGTACAACAACTTGGTCCCGATCTCGCTGTACGTGTCGCTAGACATGGTCAAGGTAGTGCCATCCCGTCCATCGCTACCGCAGTCCAACGATGCATTTCTGGTAGGTCGCCCAAGCCAAGAACATCTCGAGCGACGAAGAAATGTGTCACGAAGGGTTTTACGCCATCGCGCGCACGTCCGACTTGAACGAGGACTTGGGGCAAATCGAGTACATCTTTAGCGACAAGACGGGCACACTGACGCAAAACATCATGGAGTTTCGCAAGTGCTCGATTGGCGGCGTCGTGTATGGTTACGGGTCGACCGAAATTGCCCAAGCAGTCGCGGCACTGAACGCGAAGCGAAATTCTCTCGTCGAAAATGTCGTGCCGCAGCCGCCGTCGTCGTCGAATGACGGTCCTGCCAAGGATATTCGAGATGCCCAAATATTCTTGGACAAGTCGATTCACTTTGACGATCCTCGCCTCGTGAAGGAAATTTCGACCAACGGGCCGAATGCAAAGCGAATCAATGAATTTCTGACCCTCTTGGCCGTGTGCCACACGGTGATCCCGGAGAAAAATGCTTCCACAGGCTTGGTCAACTACCGTGCATCGTCTCCGGACGAAGAAGCCCTCGTCAAGGCAGCTCGGTGCTTGGGGTGAGTGGGTTTTCTTAGAGAAGCAACGGATGGCTGATGCGGGCTGCATGCAGGTACAAGTTGGTGACTCCAGCCCCGTTAGTGGAGGTAGAAGTGACTCACAAAGCCAAGCCGTCGACGATGCAAACGTTCACCATCCTCAACGTGAACGAGTTCAATTCAACCCGCAAACGCATGTCGACGGTCGTGCAATTCTCCGATTCCCGCATCGTTTTGTACTGCAAAGGCGCGGACAATGTGATCCTGCCTCGGTGTAAACCTGACAGCGCGACCGCACAACTCGAGGAACACCTCAAGTCGTTTGCGTCGGAAGGCCTTCGCACACTCGTGTTGGCAAAGCGGGAACTCACCGACGACGAATACGAGACCTGGAACAAGCTCTACCAGAAGGCAGCAACGTCGTTGACGAATCGAGACGCGTTGTTGGATGCCGCCGCCGAAGCACTTGAGGTGGGCATGGACATTGTCGGCGCAACAGCAATCGAAGACAAGCTGCAAGTTGGAGTCCCCAACACCATCTTCAGTTTGGCACAAGCTGGAATCAAAATCTGGGTTCTGACGGGTGACAAGGAAGAAACCGCCGTCAACATTGGACATGCGTGTCGCCTTTTAAATGATGGGATGCAGATTCTTTTCATCAACCGCGAAGGATTGCCCGAACTGACTGAACAGGTTCGTGAGTCGTCCAGTTGTGATTCAGCTCTCAGGCGTGTTTCGTGCGAAGCTGGAGTACTTGTACAATATGGAAAGCATCCAAACGCACTACAGAAACAAGACGGTGGCCGACAACATTGCGATTGTTTGTGACGGCAAAGCACTGGTCCACTTTTTCCCGTCGAAGGCGTTATCGGCGGACGAAAAGGTCGTGGCGAAGGAACTTCGTCGAAAACTCTTGGCCGTCGCGAGCGTTTGTAAGGCTTTGATTGCTTGCCGAGTGTCTCCTGCCCAAAAAGCCGACATCGTCAACATGGTTTGTTATCCCTTTATCTTGAGGGCTCGTCACGATGGGTTTCTGCAGGTCCGTTACCATTCGCAAAACAACCCCATTACGCTTGCTATCGGCGACGGAGCGAACGACGTCAACATGATCCAGTCGGCGCATGTCGGGATTGGCATATGTGGCCAAGAAGGGGTACAAGCCGTCAACGCCAGCGACTATGCGATCGCTCAGTTCCGGTACTGTGCTTCAAGTAGTGCCACGACGAAAGTAATTGCTGTGCTAGCTTTCTTCAGCGGCTGCTTCTGGTCCACGGCCGATCCAACTACAAGCGCATCGCCAAGGTCATCTTGTACTCGTTCTACAAGAACATGTCGCTTGTGATCGTGCTGTTCTTGTACAACTTTTACAACGGCCAGAGCGGAACGTCGCTGTTTGAGAGTTTTGTCATGGCCGGGTGGAACTTCTTCCTGGCACTGCCGATCATTGCAATAGGGGTGTTTGACGAAGACGTGAGCCCGGAACAAGCAATGGCGTTCCCACCGCTGTACATGACCGGCCAGCGCAACGAAGACTTGAACGTCAAGTATTTTTCGTGGTGGATCTTCAATGCATTCTACCATGCGTTTATCAGCTTCTTCCTTCCCGTGTACATCATCCGCGGGTTCTCGACGGAAGCTTTTCACGTACAAGGGACGACCATTTACTCGGGCTTGCTCATGACGATGAACCTCAAAGTCATTTACGAAACGCTGTCGTGGACCGTATTCAGCTACGGCTTCATGGTGTTTTCGTTCTTGCTGTTTTTCTTCTTCCTGGCCGTTTACCCAGCCGTGCCAGGCCTTGGCAACGACATGTTTGGAGTCCCGGCTTCTATGCTGTCCACGTAAGTTGTCGATTGCTTGTTTTGTGTAAATCACTTGAGTAGGGCACTGTACTGGCTTGTGTTTTGCTTGATCCCGGTGGCATGCATGCTGATCGACATCACCATCAAATAGTACGTCCCGTTGAATTCTTGCGAAGGGTTTGCTAACAACCAAATTTATCCAGTTGGATGAAGAACTACCGCCCCACTGAAGCTGACATCTTGCGCGAGCGCGGATTACTCCAGAAGAATCAACTCAAGATTGTCGACATGACGATCAATGGAATAGTGAACCAATCTCATCCGCGTTCGGCGGAAGAGCAGCGGCAAGACGAGAAGGCCGGTGTGAAGAACTTGGACATGAGTGGGTACACTGGTTTTGCGTTCTCGGCGCCTGACGACAAGGTGATCAACGACAATGACACGAAAGCCGCCGTTCGTGAAATCGCAACAATGCGCGTCGACCATTTCAATTTGACGGGGGAAACGGACGCCGAGTCCGAGCGCCGTCAAGCGACTGGATCTTTTCATACGGACAAGCGGGGCAGCAGTCATGCAGGATTGAATTCGTTCCTCAACCACCTACCTCTGACGGAGCACATGGAAGAAGGCGGCGTCGACCAACCGACGGGCTCCGAGTAGGTGTTCCAGGAAGACAGTGCGCGTGGCGTGCGCCAAGTAGATATTTGAATATGACCAACCTCCGTGCGATCTCGCGCCTTTTTCGTAGTGCTGACAAATCTCGTGTCAATCCGACGATGTGGCCGGAATTATTCAATTCTGTGACACTTTCCATTCAGCATCTTGATATGTTCCGGAAAATTGTGTGCACGAAGCTGTCGACAGACTTCCGCGGCGCCACCGAGATTGTGACGGTCCCGCGGGCATCTTTAAAGGTAACTCCAGGCACAGTCCTCATCAAGAACGTTGTCGTGGGCATCAATGCGTCCGACATCAACTACACGAACGGAAAGTACAACCCGGGAGTGCAACCGCCTTTCGACTGTGGATTTGAGGGCGGTGCGTTCGATTACCATGAAGCTCTGGCTAACTCGTGTCCTGCGTGTGGAATATAGTGGGGCATGTTGAGGAAGTTGGTGCCGGTGTCAAACACTTGAAGAAAGGCGACGCCGTCGTCTACTCAAGTGAGTCTTCCTCACTCCACATGGTATCAATAAGATGCTTCAACAGTGTACGGCGCGTTTTCCGAGTACGTTGTGGTTCCAATCAAGTTAGCGGCGAAGGTACCTGTGGCGACGGCCGAGATCCTCCCGCTGAACGTGTGCGGTCTCACGGCCTCCATTGCATTGGACACAGTCGGTGAGGTAATCTCTGCTCTTACGCAACAATTCCCTTTTGAAATCAAGTGTTATCTCGAATCTGACCTTTTGCCACAGATGAAAACTGGCGAAACCGTGTTGGTGACTGCCGCTGCTGGAGCCACGGGTCAGTTCGCCGTGCAACTGGCAAAGCTTGCGGGCAACACCGTCATCGGTACTTGCAGCTCGCCTGAGAAGCAAGAGTATTTGAAGTCCATCGGATGCGACCGTGCAATCGACTATACTAAAGAAGATGTTGGTACAGTCTTGGCCAAAGAATTTCCTCGCGGAGTTGATCTCGTCTTTGAATCTGTCGGCGGCTCCATATTCGAGGTTGGTTATCTTTGTGCTGTACATCAATCCCACAGAAAATTGCCAAATTTCGATGGCTTTAGACTTGCATGAACAACTTGGCCAAGCATGGACGTTTGGTCGTAATCGGGTCCATCTCGGGTTACGCTGACTCGTCGTCGTGGTCGGGAGGTAGCACCTCGTCGCCCTTTGCATCTACCCTCTTGAGCAAATCCGCGTCCGTGCGTGGATTCTTCCTCAACCATTTCATCAAGACCCATGGTACTACGCATGCCCGGAAGCTCGCGACGTTGGTTCGCCACGGCTTGCTTAATTCGGGTGTGGACCCAGCCAAGTTCAGCGGCCTAGACAGCGTTGCTGACGCCATCGAGTACCTGTACGCGCGCAAGAACATTGGCAAACTCGTCGTGCATCTCGACACTCCTCATTCGTCGCTTTAATCCGTCGACGTTTTCGGCTTCTTATTCGACGCAATGATTTTCTCTCGCAATTTGGCAAAACTAAAGTCCGACTTGAACCCGTCGTCCAGGTTGCTCGTCGTGCCTTGCAACTCGACCGTCTTGACCATCGTGATGAGGCGCCTCGCGTATTTACTCGTGAGACGCTCTTCCGAATTGGCCACCACGCGAAGCTGCGGATGAGTCGGCAGATCGGCGTCCGTGTAGTCGTACGTCGTCGGGAGCAAGTAGACGACGCGGCCGCCCACTCGCAAGTTCTTGGCCGCAAACTCGAGAAGGTCTCGCATCACGTCCTCGGCCGCATACGGCTGTGTGGCGGGAATGTGGTTTTCAAGCCATTCCTCAGGGATGTGCCGCGGGCCGTACTTGGGTTTGACAGTTTTAGTCGGGACTGGGCCATCTGTAGCGAGCTGTGGTGATGGCTGGACCGCCGTCGAGTTCTCTGGAGGACCCTCTCGTCTACATACGGCGTTATGAATGCAGCGTTCATGGTATTCCTCACGAACCGTCCACTCTTTCGAGCGCCAGCGCGGATGCCGTACGGGGGATCGCATACGACAGCATCAAAGTAGTGGGGGCATCGCAACGGGGACCGCGAGTTGTCGGCGCGGATGAGGTCTGGCACACGCAGGTTGTACTGGTCAAAGTTGGACTTGATCGTTTTGCCGTCCTTCCCATGCAGCACGCGGGAATCGATATCGGTGCCAAAGCAAATGCCCCCAAAAGTTGTGCAGGGGACAAGTACACTCCCCGTCCCCACGAACGGATCGATGACGAGACTGCCAGGTTGAACAAGCGCCATATTGCACATAATGAGGGCCATTTCAGCATCCATGGACGTCGGGCCAATGTATTCGCGACGCTTGAGGGTTTGCATGTCAACCTAATTGCGTCGGGTTGAGCATGATGCATTCAAGTTTGTCGGCCGTACGAGATCCCGTGCGCCACCACGCCCCCGATTCTTTTCTCCACCGGCCAAAGCACGAAGGAAGAAGATGCGGTCCGGCTCAGTCTTTTGTTGGTCTACGCCAATATCCTCCAGAATGAGGAACGTCAACGCCGGATTTTTCATGGCGACGGGGCCGGCGAATGGCAAAACGTGGCGGAATTTTTCACGGCGAGCTGTCTGTTCCTCCATACTCAACTTGAGTCCGAATGCGTCGACCTGGATTTTCCAGCTCAGCGATTCGTCCGACACGAAGATGTCCTTCTCGGCATACGCCTTGACAGACGTAACGAGTTCGTCGTAGGTTTGACCGTGGCCCCACATTTCGTACACGCCTTTGACTAAGATCCCACGCTGAGAAAGGAATTTGGCATGTTGTTCAGACGGAAGCTTCACATGAACAAGCGGCGAGCTTAACGGGTTCAGCTCACGAGTGTAGCAGTCCTCGGGAACGAGCGACTGCATTGTGAGAAGTGCATCGAGCTCTGGAAAGCGGAAGTCCTGCAACGAACAACGTCAATTCGTCTTATCTGGTCAATCACGAAAACCGGGCAATGCATGCATACCAAGTGTCGATGCACGAAAAAGACCAAGTATTCCTTCATGGTGGATGCGCGGCAAGGAATCGTCCAAACCGCGCGGCGGGTCGATCGATACCAGTATAGCCAATGAAATTCACTCAGACTTTTTGTCCAATAAGAATCATTTCTATCCAATTTATTCTCTGTATTTTTATCCAATTAAAAGTGTGAATGTGAGTGGTTCCAAACATTTGTGAGGATAACAAACGTTCCCTACGGCGTTGACAATTTTTTCACGCACTTTGTTGACGACGATGGCTCGTGGTGACCGCAGAGAATGGACCCCGCCGCCACAGGTTGAAGCAAAGCCCAAAGGTGAAGTCAACTACCACATGTACGCTCCTCTGCTGTACGGTCCCATGATCCCCTTGATCCGCATTGGCCTGCGCGGACGACTGCCGCAGAAGCAAATCGACGCCATTTTCCTGACCTCGGTTGGGCTTGCACTATCGCATGCGGGATATGTCATGTTTTCCGACTCAAGCGTGTAGTAGACTAACATAAGACGGTTGCATGTGAATTCGTTATGACGAGGGTGCATGCGCCTCACCAATGTGACGTTTGTGGGCATTTACAACGTGGTTGCTGGTTGTCCTCCAAAACTTTGAGCTCACAGAATCGTCCATTGCCAGTGTGATAACCCATGACTTGTCTCTTTGAACCATAGTGTAGAAAGACAGCAGACAACTCGTGTGAGGTCTTCGCGGCGTCGTTACGAAGCAATGCGCAGGCATCCAGAAGAACTCCCCGCCTTCGTCATGCGCCACAAGTCAGGAAACAATACTTTTTGACTTCCGTGAGCTCGAGTTCACGTTACATTGATGCAAAATACCTCGATATTGTCGACAATGAGATGGCAAAATATTTCAAAATCCAACCTATCAGGAAATTGAGTTTTCCTATAAAAGCATTTAACAGCGTTTGATTGGTTCAATATTGAACCATGTCCATTTTACACTATATAATGGGCGAAACCTCTATATTCAGATATATATCTGGGACCAGACATCTTGATTTTTGTATATCGCATAGACAAGACATCATAATCGAAAACCCCAAACATCTTCATTGAGATCCCCCCAACAGGATGAAGAACCCGTCTGCAGCAGCTGCATTGCCAGACAATCCGCCAACCTCTGGGGCCAAGCAGGTAAGCCCCTCCATACGCGGCCAGGAGCGTGGCTAATTGAAGAGGGTAGATTGTGCGCATCAACGACGACGGTACCAAGTTTGAGTTGGACGAAGAAGCCATTGATGGAATCCTCCACAAGGTACAACATGCACGATATGTGGCGTAGCAACCAACTGCAACTAGATTGACCCCGACATGAAAGTTGCCATCATATCTGTGGTGGGCGCATTCCGCACGGGCAAATCGTTCGTCTTGGACTTATTCTTGCGCTACCTCAAGTACACGTCGTCCCATCCTGCACCTGAAGTGACGTCGCGCGAGTGGGCTCTTGCATGCGGACCTCATCTCGAAGGCAATTCGAATTTCGAGACCACGAACGGCGAGGCAGGGTTCTCGTGGCGCGCCGGCCGGAAACGCAACACTACTGGCATCTGGATGTGGAGCGAACCGTTTATCCGCAAAAGCTCTTTGGGCGAGGACATTGCGGTGTTTCTCATCGATACGCAGGGCATGTTTGATTCGGAAACGTCGCAAATGCTCACTGCAAGCATTTTCGGATTGAGCACGTTGTTCAGTTCCTATCAGATTTACAACGTCGACAAGCGCGTCCAGGAAGACAACCTCCAACACCTGGCGCTGTTCACCGAATATGGCCGGTACCGTGGAGCGCATTTTGAGTTTTTTCGATGAGCTTTCGTGTTCTTGAGCATGTCGTGGGGCACCTTCAGTTTTTATTTGCTGGTTTGATGGAATTGGCGTGTGAACAACTCGAAACATATTACTTTTGATGTCATTTTTCACGCGAGGACATGTTTTTCTCGACGAATTTCAGGCGAAATGACCATTTCTTTGTGGATTTCGCTTCGGTAGATTGCATTGTGGACTGACATGATGTTACTGTAGCATGGCATTGCAAGGATCGATTGAAGAAGGTGAGAACCAACTGATGAAGGAAGCATCAATGCGCAGTATTCAATCGTTCGCGCGCGTGATTTCGGACAAGCAGATGCAACGTCAAGGCAACAGCACCGTCTCGAACGACATGGGCGAGCTGGACGCGACGGACGTCGAGGACGACGGCACCACCGAGACAAGCGGCGTTGGCGACGACGCGAATGTAGATGATGAACCCGTGATCCGACCGTTCCAGCACCTAGATTTCCTCGTGCGCGACTGGCAAGATTTCAAGCGGTCAGCGACCCTGGCCGAAAAGCAAGCCGACATGCAAGCGTACGCGTCGGAGGTGTTGAGCACTCGCAAACAACAAGACTTGGCCGACACGCGCGAACAGATCCATTCGTGCTTTGAAACGATTCGATGTGTGCTGCTTTCCCACCCCGGACACGCCGTAACGGACTGCGAGTACGACGGCAGTATTGACGAGATCGACGGCCGCTTCATGGAGCTCCTGACAGCGTACTTGAACACATTGTTTGGTGAAAAGTCCCTTGAACCCAAGAAAATTCATGGCGTCACCATCACGTCCCGCGAATTGCTGGTGTTTATCAAGTCGTATGCGGCGCTGTTCAAGGAGGCGTCGATCTTTCCCGAAGCCAAGACGTTGCTGGAAGCGACGGCGGAAGCCAACAATGCCAATATGAAGGATCGAGCGCTGACCAAGTACAAGGCCGAAATGCAAAAGAAGGTCGGTCCCAAGTGCGGCTATGTGCAGCCGCACCATTTGACGGAGCACCACCGCTTGTGCCTTCTTGGCAGCATGACGATTTTTGACATGGGCGCCAAGATGGGGTACGCCTTTGCGGAGAATTTGAAATTTGAATTTTCCTTGACATGCACGACTGTAGCCGTCAGTCGGCGATTCTGAAGACCCGTAAAGAACTCGCCGAGGCGATTCTTGCCGAGCACGCGCGATACGTTGAAGTGAATGCCGAACGTGACCCGTACAAGAACCTGGAATTCTACCTTGTGCCGGCAACCGTCGCAATCGTGTTGTTTTTCTTTCGCATCGTGCAGGACTTGCTCTGCTATGAAAACTTTGGTTACGACATTCCAGTCTACGATTGCAAGTACGTTGTAGAAAATTGTGTCTTTATTGGAGCCGCCTCATTGCTGTGGACATGTAGACACGTCAGCGTCACACTGTCCCACTTGTACTGGGCAATCATCACGTTCATGTGCATCGTGACGTTTGCCACGGGCAGCTTGATGGCCGATCGATTGAAAGCCGTCGTGACCGTTGCCAAAGCAGCCTTTCTTGATCATTCCGAGAAGGCCAAGACAGACTAACGGAAGCGTTGATCGACGCCCTCGGTGAAACCAGGTTGTACGCTACGTAGACTAAAGCATGTACCGACGTCGCAGAGTCGACCCTTTTGATCCGCTCAAGTCGGTCAAGTGTAAAATTACATATACACTTCATTGCCGTTTTTTGGGTTACTTTTCGATCGTGACTTGGTAGCCTGTCTGTGGACTCCACTGAATCACATGCATGCGCCGCTTCACTGCTTCTTGCTCGTCTGCTTGGTGCCACCAGGTTGCACTGGACAGGTTGGTGGAATCGTGTAGGTCACGATCCCAGCCGCACACGTTTAGCCGCACGCTAGCCGACCATGGCTCGAGCACGACCTGGAACGACGATGCCATGTTGGCAAGCGCACCACATCGCAGCGCATTTGTGATGAGGTGCACTGTGTGTGGCAAAATGCACCCTGCCACTTCTGTCCTACCGTTTCGATTGGTTGTGATGTTGTGTTGCAGTATATCAAGACCATCGCGTACTTGAACATGGGCGTGGGGCCGGCGACTTGGCCGCATGGGGAAACTTGAAGAGGGACGATTCCCGCATGCTGAAATGGAAAACGCGCACACAACAGCGGCACGTCCGTCGACGCGGCAAGGAGCCCTGGTGGTCGACAATGCAGGGCGTTAGAAGAGGCATATAGACACAAGTGGGGCAACAAGTCTGTAGTCCACCAGCGATCGACGTGCCACTCACCTGGTTGGTTTAAGAGCAGGTCAAACACGCCGTGCACGTTGCAAGGACCGTGGATGAGTAGCATGGTGTCCAGTCCTCGGATGGACGCATGCATTGGATCGATTGCGTTCAGGTCTAGTGGAGTCGTCGCTTCTGCCGACGCAAATGGCACGTGGAATTGCACCCCTGCCGCCAGCAAGTCTCTGCGCAACGTCGTCGTCGTGTGTGAGATCACGACCGAAATGTCTAGAACCCATTGCGTTCGATTCACTTGCATTCGTCGACGATCCGTCTATCGAAAAAGGAAAACACTCACGTTGACGGACGGAATGCAATTTGCTTTTGCCGTCGGGAATTGTGTCCGCCTTGGACGATGCATTTTGGTTGGGAAGATACTGGCGAAACAAGCTTCGAAGTGAGTTCCGAGTTGAACAATCGGCGTCGGGCGCCGTCTTGGACGTCTGCAAGCTCGTTCGATAAAAACACACCACGCTCTGTGCCGTGACGACATAGAACGCGTCGTGATCTGAGCTATGCGCATGCACTCAAGTCAAGAACTCGAATAATGGGATGATTGGAGCCGATACTTGTGGTGGAAGGTGTAGTACAGATTCCGACATGCTTCTTGCCACGTGCGAAGGCGCTGGGTCGTGAATTCGTCGTCGACAGGCACGTGAGGGCCGTCGACACCGTGGCTCATGCCAGGGGTTGCTGGGTGAACGAATTGATGTAGAGCATAGTGCCATTGATCACAAGGAGATGCAGTGACATCGTTTGGGAGTACGGATAACGGGGAAGACTCGACGAAGCGACGGAACAACCTGGCGGACGCAGCGCCACTACAAGAAATCAGCTGATGAATGCATGCATTGCAAGTCCGAGTACCTGGAGCGAGGGGGGAATCGAAATGGAGTCAAGCAAATCAATTTATTCTTCAAAGTCCAATCCAACGGCAGCACATCGTATGTCTACACCCAATCGCACAGTTGAGTGAACGAGAACGTGACGAGCTGAACCTGGAACGAAGTGGGAAAGTCCGCAATGCGATGCTTTGCAGGTCGATCCATGCGTGAGTTGGTGTAAATGGTGCTGAGCTTCGCGTCAAGCAACTTTCCCACTATGGACGAGTTTGAGACGTTGCCGCTGGCATTGTCTCTTGCATGTGTCCCTATAGGAACTGTTTTGTCTTCCATTTTATTCGCACTGTCGCTACGTGTGTTTTCATATCGTTGTTGTGGATGGGAATGGTTCATACTCAGTTCGTCCGCTGGATGGGTCTGCGATTTGGCTTCGCAAACGTTTCGCCATGCGTTGGCGCTACAAGTCCGCGCCAACGATCACATTCCAAGATAGCAAGAGATGCATCATGGTGAAGAAGTGCCGCACCTTTAACTCCATCGGGTTCAATCTCGTGCGACCTCCATTAGGTTGCTGGCTGCTCATGTAGTTCCTCCCGCGCTCACCACAGTACAGCAACCACACTAAATGAATCCGTACACTATATAGGTTGTTACACTATATCAATTTTATTGAAATAGTGTTGAAACCCTGATTGCAATTCACAGTCAATTGACTGACAGTGAATCAATACGTTCCAGCCCTCACAAAATAAATTTTTCCATAATATTATAAAGCATATCTAAGGGGCAGTCAGTCGAATAAATAGGCTTTTCACACCGACAGAATGTCTATTTCTCTGTTGTCGCCTCGGTGGACTGGCCGACGGGCGGTGGAACTAATGGGGAGGCACTCAGTCTGCGCAGCTCTGTAATTTCACCGACTCGCCCTGTTTGCTGGAGCTGGTCCACGCGGAGCGACGCAATGTCGCGTGATCCAGAGCCCCGTCCCGTCGAATCTGGCGACGAATAGGCAAATCCAGTGTACTTGACGTCGTCCACGTTGCGAACTCCGGCCTTCTTGTCGGCGATGAGCTGGTCCGGCGTGCGTTCGATCGACCCCCTTCGATCCACGTAGTCTTGTTGGCCACGCGGCTTGCGCGCTTCCGACACCCCGCACGACACTTTGGATTGTCCACGTCGAATCACGTAGCGCTCGCGCAAAATGTCAGCGTCCGTGGGGCTGTAAAACTTGACCCAGCTACGACACAAAATCAGTATCGTGGCGGCGCCTTTCGTGGTAGGGCTTACAATTTTAGGGACAAGTCGACAAGAAAGTTGGCGACCGGCACAAGGAAGAACACGGCCCAGTAAATGCCTCTACAATGTCGCAGTGAGCAATGCGTAGACAGCACGGTAACGACATGACAAACGTACGACGAGAGCAGGATCGGCGTGATGCCGACCATGTCCCAGCTCAGGAACGTAAACAAGGGGTACACGCCGAGGAAGAAGAAGTAGAGCACGACGGAAAACACAATGAACCCGTGGTTGAACATGGTCCACGACATGGTTTCCATGATGACTTTGCAATTCATTGTCATGAGGAGCCCAGTGTAGATGGTCGTGCCTTGCAAGTGGAAGGCTTCCGTCGTGTACCCCACGACAATGTAGATTGGCAACCAGAAGCTCAGGACGGCGTGGAAGATGGCGTTTGCAATCCAAATGCAGAACCGATACACGTTCAAGTCGTCGTTGCGTTGGCCGGTCGTGTACAGCGCGGGAAACGCCATTGCTTGTTCCGGGCTCACGTCTTCGTCAAAGATCCCGATCGCGATGATCGGCAGTGCCAGGAAGAAGTTCCACCCGGCCATGACAAAACTCTCAAACAGCGACGTTCCGCTCTGGCCGTTGTAAAAGTTGTAAAAGAACAGCACGATCACGAGCGACATGTTCTTGTAGAACGAGTACAAGATGACCTTGGCGATGCGCTTGTAGTTGGATCGGCCGTGGACCAGAAGCAGCCGCTGAAGAAAGCTAGCACAGCAATTACTTTCGTCGTGGCACTGGTCGAAGCACGGTACCGGAACTGAGCGATCGCATAGTCGCTGGCGTTGACGGCTTGTACCCCTTCTTGGCCGCAAATGCCAATCCCGACATGCGCCGACTGGATCATGTTGACGTCGTTCGCTCCATCGCCGATAGCAAGCGTGATGGGCTTGTTTCGCGAGTTGTATCGCACCTGGGTAAGAAGGACGAAAGTCGCTCGGTCATTTTACTTGGAGACGACTGCAGTAGCGGTGGCCATACCAAGTTGACGATGTCGGCTTTCTGGGCTGGCGAGACGCGGCACGCAACCATGGCTTTGCAAACACTGGCGACGACGAGAAGTTTGCGCCGCAGTTCCTTGGCCGTGACCTTGTCGTTGGCCGACAACGACTTGGACGGGAAAAAATGGACGAGGGACTTGCCGTCGCACACGATGCCAATGTTTTCCGCCACGGTTTTCGACTTGTAGTGGTCTTGAATCGCCTCCATGTTGTACAAGTAGTCGACCTAGACAAACCATTCAACTCCACACCACACATATTTGACATCACGTCCGTGGAGAACGATCCGACCGACCTGCTCGACAAGGCCTGCCAAATCTTCCCGATTCACATACAGCAACTGCATCCCGTCATTGAGTAAGCGGCATGCGTGCCCGATGTTGACCGCTGTCTCTTCCTTGTCTCCTGTCAACACCCAAATCTTGATACCGGCCTGGGCCAGGCTGTGGATCGCGTTGGGAACGCCAACTTGCAACTTGTCTTCGATTGCAGTGGCCCCGACAATCGTCATGTTGACTTCGAGTGCTTCTGCAGCTGCATCCAGCATGGCATCTCGATCGGACAAGGACGTTGCAGCCGCCTGGTACGTTTTGTTCCACGCGTCGTAGTCCGCCTTGGACATTTCGCGCTTGGCCAGGACTAGCGTGCGCAAGCCCTCGGACGCAAACGTCTTCAAATGCTCGTCCAAGACCGCTTCAGTCCTCGTCAGCGCGCATCGCGGCAAGATCACGTTGTCCGCGCCTTTGCAATACACGACAACCGTGCCGTGCGGCGTCAGCACGACTACGCTCATCCGTTTCCGGGTCGAGTTGAACTCGTTCACGTTCAAAATCGAGTACCCCAACATTGTCGGGCTCGTTCCCTTGTGCGTGATTTCCACTTCGACAAAAGGCGCCGGTGTCACGAGCTTGTAGCCCAAGCACCGCGCCGCCTTGACCAAAGCTTCTTCGTCTGGGGACGAGGCGCGGTACGTCGTCAGGCCCGTGGTGGCATTGGTTTCAGGAATCACAGTGTGGCAAACGGCCAAGAGCGTGAGAAACTCGCGGATGCGAGCGCCGTTCGGACTCGACGGGTTTGCGGCTTCGACGACGAGTCGCGGGTCGTCAAAGTGAATGGACTTGTCGAGGAAAATCTGGGCATCGTTCAAATTGGTCGCGGGGCCACGGTCGTTGGCCGTCGCTGGCGTGGCTTCATGTTTGGCGAGCCTGGCGACGGCCGCGGCAATTTCGGTCGACCCGTAACCATACACGACGCCGCCAATCGAGCACTTGCGAAACTCCATGATGTTTTGCGTCAGTGTGCCAGTCTTGTCGCTAAAGATGTACTCGATTTGCCCCAAGTCCTCGTTCAAGTCGGACGTGCGCGCGATGGCGTAAAACCCTTCGTGGCACATTTCTTCGTCGCTCGAGATGTTCTTGGCTTGGGCGACCTGCCAGAAATGCACGGTTGGACTGCGGCAGCGATGGACGGGATGGCACTACCTTGACCATGTCTAGCGACACGTACAGCGAGATCGGGACCAAGTTGTTGTACAGGATCAAAAACGTAAAGAACGCGCTGACTTCGACGCGGATGAAGGGGAGGTACCACGAGTGCAGCTTGAGTGCGTGGTGCACCCACGCATTGAACGAGACGGTGCTGATCACGCAGAGCGTAAACTACCGTGGATTGCGTGCGTTAGGGGATTGGCGCTCTGGACTGTGTACCTGTGTGAGGAAGATCAGCATGATGCACCGGTTCACCATCTTGTACACGTTGCTTTGCTTGGACGGGGTCGCTCGGGCGTTTTGCATGAGCTTGGACTCCTTTCCGGCGAACAAAACGATTCCAAAGATGTACGAGCAACTGCGGATGCTGCATCCGCGCAAGATAACGTTGGTCGGTCCAATGGGCGCTGCGTCGGCCAACGCGTCTGCTTTGACGACTCCCGTAAAGTTGTAGAGCCGATTGTTGGGCTGTTCGTATTCGATGGACCCGCGAAATGCCATGCACGATGCCTTGTGCTTGGCTTCGTCAATGACAGGCTACACCATGCACCAAACATGTCATCGACTCGTAAAAGACAATCGTGGCCGTACATCATTGAGAGCTCGAAACCCAATGAGCTTGGCAATGGGTTCGCATGCCGTCCGGCGCTTCAAGTTGGTTTCGCCGTCCAAGTTGCACGTCTCGACAAAGCACCGTCCTTCCTCCTCGGACGTCGCCAAGATCAACACGTCTGCCGGCAGCTCATCCTTGTCTTTCAAGAACAAGATGTCGCCCACTTGGACATCTTGCCACTGCTTCTCCTGGATCGCCCCGTTGGCCGTCATAACCTACCCCAAGCATGAAATGACGACGACAGCTCGGCGCATACGTGGCAAATGCGGCAGTTCTGAATCGCGTCTGCGTCGTGGCGCTTCTTGTCTTCGATCGCTTGTTTGGTCATGGATACCATGAGCACAATCAGGAGCGGTCCGGCCGTCGTGTACTGGTTGGTCGGCGACCAGTCCGTCAGCACCTACCACCGTGAACGCGTCGCTAAAGGACGAGCTACCATCGCGACAACGTACTTGCAGGAGCGAAATGCACAAAAAGTACCCGTTCGCAACAACTCGAAAGAACTCGAGGATGGTCTTGGGCACGAAGCTACGAATCAAGTCGCAACCATCACAAAAACAACGACGCCACGATCGCCGCATGGCGACGGTGGAGCGGAACGTACTTGAACATGGTGTACTTGGACGTCGAGACCCAGTTGTTGGTGTACTTGAATTGCTGCCGTAGACGTGCGTTCTCGACGTCGTTGTTCACGTGCACCGTGCGCGTGTCCGGTTTCGCAATGTCCCCTCCCATCGTGTTGGTGTTGACGGTGTCAGGGCCGGCGAAGTGGTAGCAGCGACGGGTGTGCGAGCTGGTGAAAGTGTTTTCCCCAAGCGCCTGGCTGTGGCTGCGGTTATAATTAGCCGAAACCTCCCGTCGAGGCCGATGCCATGGGCGTGCGTTGCCATTGACGGGCCAAATATAGCCGCCATCGAATCCCGTCGTGCTTTCTTGCATTGTGTCGCCTCATGGCCGTGGTGTTGCTTTTCGTCGAGGCGACTCCGCCGCTCGACATGTTTTACTAAGTCGTTCCAGCGGACGTTTGTCCGCCCTCATGACAGCTCGTGGCATGGAATCCTGTCGTCACCTCGCGGGCGGCGCGGTTCTGTTTCAGCGATCCTGGTCGTCGCTGGGTCTGCTACTGCCTCGTGTATGGAGAAAATGTTGGCGCTCTAGAACACACCCTGACGGCTAGCAGCCCCACGCCGCACACTTTATTCCATTTGGTGCGCCATGTCACGGCGAGTGGTGGCGTGAAAGGGAGGGAAGGGGGGGGTTTCGTGTCTATTTTGAGTTGCCCGAACGGGCGCGCGTGTGAGCCCATATCAGGTGTGCTGCATGTTGTGTAGCCGGCGCGCGGTCGCATCGGTCGTTCCAGTTGCATAGGCATGGAAAACTATGAGAACTTGGGCACGATCGGCGAAGGGTACGTCGTCGTGAGATCTCTTGTTGTCGGCGGACGATAATGGCATGTTGCAGCACGTACGGCGTCGTCCTCAAGTGCCGACACAAGGAAACCGGCCAGATCGTCGCGATCAAAAAGTTTAAAGAGTCCGACGAGGACGAGCAAGTCAAGAAGACTGCGATGCGAGAAATTCGCATTCTCAAGGTAAATCCGGTCGTTGCCGCGCGCCCGTGACAAAGCACCCGTGTCTAGCAACTCAAGCACGAGAACATTGTCAACTTGATCGAAGTGTTTCGACGCAAGGGCAAGCTGTATCTGGTACGCTCGGTGGTGTCGCGACGTCCATGACGGACGGCGTCCAGGTGTTTGAGTACGTCGAGAAGACGATCCTGGAGGAAATTGAAAAGAACCCGGAGGGCCTGGACCCGGCCGTGATCCGGAGCCTTATGTGGCAACTGGTCCGGGCGATTCAGTTTTGCCACCAAAACAACATTATCCATCGAGACATCAAGCCAGAGAACCTCCTCGTGTCCAAGAACGGTGTCCTCAAGCTGTGCGATTTTGGATTTGCACGCACGTTGGCGGCGGCAGGCGCCAAGTACACAGACTACGTGTCCACGCGGTGGTACCGCGCCCCCGAGTTGCTCGTTGGCGACGTCTCGTACGGGAAAGCCGTCGACATTTGGGCCGTGGGGTGCATGTTTGCCGAGATCACGACCGGTCTGCCGCTTTTCCCAGGGGACTCGGACATTGACCAGCTCTACCACATCATCAAGTGCTTGGGGCGCATAACGTCGCGCCAGCAAGAGCTCTTTCGTAAAAACTCGCTGTACGTTGGCGTGAAGGTTCGTACAATCGACCACATTTAGTGGGATGTTGACCCGCGCGACCGTAGCTGCCCGAAGTGACGGAAGTCGAGTCGCTGGAAGACCGGTTTCCACAGCTCGACAAAGTCTCGATCGACTTTCTCAAGCAAACTGTCCAGGACGAGCCGTTGGACCGGTGGACGTGCGCAGAGCTCCTCAAACATCCCTTGATTGCTGAAGGCGCACAAGAATACGATGAACAGCTGAGAGAGAGCATCGCAAAGGACATTGTAGATAATATGGTCAAACCTGTACCTGGAAGGCGACCAAAGAAGCCCCCGCCGACGCCGTCGCAAGCGGCGTCGAGACCCCCGGCCCAGCCACAGCTCATGCCCGCTAAACCTCCTCCATCCATCGGCACCCCCCCCAACGACCATGCCACAACGACAACCTCGCCTTCCACAAAGCAGACCCCTCCGCACGGCGGCATCGCAATGAATCACACGACGAAAACGTCGAAACTAGCACATGTCAAGGCAGACCCGTGAGTGCTGTGTTCCCATCCGCACTTGCCGCCCGTCACCCGTGACTGCTTGCCTTGTCGTAGCTATAGCACTACGATGGCCCCCGATACACCGAAGAAGCAACCTCATCACCACCACGGTACACAGAACTCTCGAGTGACGTGGCCATTGGGGTTGATGCGACGATCTTGCAGGTGACAAGGGGGCTGGAAAAGGTACATTGTTTTCACCGGCCCATGGCATCGGCGGAGTGCCCCAGCGCTTCCTCCCCAATCTAAGCATCTCATCGCCGTTTGGCGACACTCCCTCCAACAACGGTACCACACGTTTCTTGCGACGGTCACGTGTGACAGCTCGTGCGTAGAAGAGCTCATTCCAGGCTCGTCTCGGCGACACAAGCCCCCCGTCAAATGCGTACGCTCGTGTTTTGCATCCATCTTCACACATGGTGCTGCCATAGATCGACCAACAGCACGAGATTACAGTGTCCGATGAGACGGCCAAGTTGATCGACCACCACACAGCAACCCGCATGTCTATGACGTCCCACGGCAGCCGTGGGGGCGTCAACGCTGCTCCAACGACGATGAAGCCTCTGCGGAAATGCACCGTTCCACCGTCGCCCAAGCGAAAGATTGCGCCTCCGCTAGAGAAGACACCCCCCCTCGTTGCGGCCATGCCCCCCAGGACATCGCAGTCGCATTCGAGGCGAGATCGCGCGTATTAACCTGCCGTAATCTAAATACCCCAGCACAAAATGGGATATCGGCACCATGGCTCCTCAATGCTTCCCACGGTGCCAATTCATTGCCCGAGACACAGTCGGTCGTTGTGGTGATGTGTGGACATAGCCCCAAGAAGCAGGTGACGGTGTAGAGACATTCGCTGGCATGTGTGGTTGTTGGAATAAAAAGTTAACGACGAAATGTAGCGCCAGCGTACGAAGGGGCGCGAGGGTCGTCCGTGGAGAGCCCCGCCAGCCTGTTGTACCGCACGACGCCCTCCGCGGAGAGGAGTCCACCCATCTTGATTTGGCCACATCCAATGCCGACGGCAAAGTCGACTGGAAACACATCGTCCACTGTGCCAGCGTCGCATCCTACAATGACCGATAGCCCCAGCACCCGCGCTTGGACAACAGCTTGGACCGCTGCCGTGACTGTGCCATACTAAGGTCAATTCATCGCGACCAGCATGAGCTCAAGACGTTGTTTTGGGAGCGTGCTGGGACTGCACCTGGGACAAATGGAGCAGAATCGTGTTGCATGCACGTTCTTCGTGCAGTGTTTCGAGCTTTGTGTGTTGGAGGAAGGCGTGCCCAACGACTTGGACCTTCACGGATGGGTCGCCACCCACTCCGTCCGCAGCATCACTGTTGCCTGCATCCACCGCTTCGTTCTCGCTGCGATTTAAAGTACTGGCAATCTTGATATCTTTGATGTCGACGGGATCGATGATAGTCATGACTTGGTGCTGGCGACACCATTCCCGTAGAATGTCCACCACTTCGTCCCTATCATAGGACAAGAGATGAGCGTGCAGACGACCATTGAATGAACCGTACCCGCCTTTGTTGAGACCTTTGGAACCGGCGACCCACTTGTCCAAGTTGTACACAACGTCGCCGTCGACTCCGACCGTGGCAAACGCATGAGCGGCCACATGCACACCGAGGCCGAACGAGATCCCACTCGAAGGATGCACCTCCTTGACCTTTGCGATCGCGTCCTTCACAATCACGATGGCTTCTTCCGTCGAGTTGAGCTGCGGAGCAAATCCGCCAACTGCTCCACGATTGACATGTCCGAGGCCTTTTGCGTCCAGGAGGTCCCGCAAGACAAGGTTGAGCTCGGCGCCCCACCGCATGGCGTCGTGGAATGACACACATCCAATGGGCATGACCGTGATTTCTTGGACGAAGAGTTTGTTCGAGCCTTGAAGGCCCCCGTGGGCCACGCTCAGGATTGGCACTGGTACACACGCATCTAATGGAATACATTAGTCGGTGAAATCACGGTGAGTGGGAAATGGACGAACTCTCGATGGGCACATCGGCGAGAGTCGCAATGTGTTCGAAGAGCGGGACGTCTTTGTGGACGGCGCCGGCTTTGCAAATCGCAATAGACAGTGCCAAACATGCCTGTCTGCCCAATTTTTCCTCCATCGACGCGATTTTTTCGTCGCAAACCGCTTGTTCGCATGGATCGACTCCTTCTAAAAGATGCTGCACGTACAATGCTAAGTCCCGTGCGCGAATTCCCTTGCCACGGCATCGGGTTACGTCGTCCGTGTCGTAGATGGCAGGCGTGTGGCTCGACGTACTTCCTTCAAAACGACCTTTCGAAGTATGCACAACCGCAAGAAGCGTGGGCAGACCGTTGGCGTCAAACACTTCCCTTGCCGAAATGGAAAAGATTCCTTTGCTTGAAGTTGCTCGGTGTTGAAGCAAGCCGCCAAGCACCAAGTACGGGTCGGCGGGCCGGTCGCGGACTACTTGGTTCAGGAACACGTTCAGTGCATTTTCGATGCCATGCTGTGCAAGGTACTCCTCGATCAGCTCCTTCTCAGCCAATTCCTCTGGACTAGACGGGAGGGACGAAGTTGATGCTGATGGTGTTGGTCCATTCGATGGTGGGGTCGTGGATGCCGTCCGGTCACCCGGCGCTCGCTTGCTCATCCTGGTTGCAAGATCTAATTTACCGGATCCGGTTACGAAAGGGCGTGGATGCATTACATGTATTCAAATATTCGCCAAATATTTGTGTTATCAATAATCCCGAAAGGTACAGTATGTCGTGGCAAAAGGCTATGCTTGCACGTACGCTGTTGTCAACGTAGTGACCAAAATATTCATCCCCATGTCGCCACCAAAATTTTGCCATCCCTTTGGCCATGTATAGAATTTGAAAATTCAACCAAGAGTCCGATTGCTCGACCCTTCTCATTTCCATCTATGAAAGCCAGAGCTCGTGTTTGGAGGCTCAATGCGGTATGAGCAGGTGTCCCCAATGCAATCACGACCGCGTTTATTACCATGAACCATGCTTTTGTAGGACTTGGCGACTGATCCTTCGAGATAAGCGTCGAAGCAGATTGCTATTCCATACTAGTTACTTGTGTGGATTCCATAGAGGAATTGAACATGTGATACAATAAATTGTTCTGCACTTGAGGAAGCACCACAAACAAAATCAATATAAAATTAAAATATAGCGCTTTGAGGTGCATCCGCTGGCCATGTTGCCTGGGTGTACTGTGGTCATTACAAGGCTACTGGGTGTCCATCTGTCCAAAATACATCTCGACGTGCGCCAATGCACATGTCAGACACATTCACTAAACGTGCCCAAACTCTGCATGATGAACACGCTGCGTACCTTTTCTTAGCTGACACATACCTGTCACTTGTGCGCGATGCGTTCAGGGACTCATCAGGACACCAAGGCCAATGTGCATTGCTGATATCTGGGCCAGAAATATCAGTGGGAGAGACCCAAGGGCGGTCCCAACTGCTTCACGGAGAGCGGTCCTTATGACTGTGTAACCCTTCGATGGCGACTTTCGTACAAAACTGTCACATCGAGCTCGCACGTTGGAGTAGCAACTACGCCGCTGCCCGTTCAAAGTGGACAAACCAACAATCAATGAGGTTCCCAAGTTACAATTTCTTGAACCCTCCAAGTGCATCTGGAATCGTTTTCATTCAAAGCGGCAATGAATGTGGCCACCTTGTACAGTACATTCTAATTCGATTGAAACATGCACTGTTGTCGCTCCAGATAGGATAGACAGTAAGATGGCAAATTCCAAAGTGATCGATGAAGTTAGGTTCACAGTCGTAGCTGGCTA